GCCTTAGCCACTTGAGCCACAGGCACTGAGCAGAACAATTCTTAAAGAGATCTCAGAACAAGGACCAGCACATCCGTGACTGGCAGAACCAGATAGGTTTGAATGGGGTTTCTCAGCCTTGGCACTATTCACATTTTGGATTAGATGATTCTCTGCTGTGGGGGCTATTCTTTACACTGAAGAATGTTTAGCAAAGTCCCTGGTCTGTGCCCACTCAATATTAGTGGCATCTTCTACCGAAGTGGTACTTACGAGAACTGTGCCCAGACATGGCTAAAGTGGCGAATCATTTCCAGCTGGATACAACTATGTTAAGAGAATGATGTTCTAGGGATCAGAAACAGAGCTCCTGATCATAGGCATAATATGTTGGTTCAGATACACATTTATTACAGATAAAAACCAAAGAAAAGGAAAATTAACATGTGAGATGAAATACTCACTTTGCTTTATAAGGTGAATCACAGCCAGAATTTTTGGTGTCTGTTAAACTCTCATATTCCTTAGCCCTGAAGAGATAAAAAGTTTTATCACAGTTAGTCACCATGTTGCTAATTTTCATAAAAAAACACAAACCATTTCTCCTCTCCCAGGATAAAATCATGCTGTTAAAGTGGAAAATCAGGAACATTGTTACATCAATTTTAATATCCTGATTTCTGAAATTGTTTCTTTAAAATCACTCTACTACCACAAAGACTAAAAAACACACAGTTCCTCACAGCATATAGAGCAGATTTATAAAAACACTTCTACATTTAGAGACATGGTTTGGAATGATTTTTATTTTTCAGAAACCTAAGAATCATGATAATTAAATTCAAAAGCTATCAAATTTCTACAAGGTAGTTAAGGTGGCCGAATACCTATGTTCCTCATGAGGTATATAATGCAAAATAAATACAGATGAAGAATAATACAAAAAAGGAGAACTGACATTTAATTTCGGTAGACACCGGAAATAATCTGACAAGACCCTCAAAGGTCCCGTCTAACAGCTCTCGATATAGTACTCCATTAACATTGACTTTATTTGTCCACTTTCCTTCTTGGAGAAATGAAAAAGGAAAAGTACTAATTTAGATGTTAATTGATCATTGGTCCTAATGTCAAAGAACTTGAGATTCTTAGTTAGTCCAGTGGACTACAAAGAAATTAGCCACAACTTGTACAAATCTAGACAATAATAACAAATGAAAAATACACACTTCTTCATAAAAACATGAAAGATGCAAATTACAACAGACCTAATGAGGAAAAAGTAAACTGTCAAAGGTAATGCTTAAGAACAAAGAAATATCAAAAATAAAGCATGAGATTATGTGTTGTTTCAACTTCAATATGTTAATTGCTATCGGCCAAACATTAAGACATATCAAAATGGAGAAAGAACCACCTGGTATATGTAAGTGTAACTGTGACCTTGTCTGAAAGGTAGAAAAGGCAACCACTATGTAGAATTAAGCAGGTTCCAAGGACTATGCCAGGTATTACACATCAATTATCTCATATGGCATTATTCTCATTTTTTTAAAGAAGATATTGAGACTCAGGAAGATGACTGATACATTAAAACACACACAGGCAAGAGAGACCGAATCCATTCTCTCATTTATACACACATAACAAGAAATTGGTCATCTAAAAAATCCTCTGTTTTCCTGAAATTAACCACTTTTTCCTAATGTGAGTCTTGTCTTGATTTACTTTCTATAAAAGATTTTTCTATTGGTGTAGATAATAATATACATCTATGAGGTGCATGTGATATTTTGTTATATGCACAGACTGTAATGATTAAATCAGGATATCTGGGTATCCATCATTCTAAGTATTTATCATTTCAATGTGTTGGGAACATTTCAAGTCCTCTTCAAGCTATACTGATATGCAATATATTGTTGCTAACTATAGTCAACCTACCCTGCTATTGAACAGTAGAACTATACCTATTAATCATCCTCTATTTGTGCCCCCACACTTTTCCCATCTTCTGGTAGCTACCATTCTATTCTTTACCTTCATGAGATAAACTTTTTTAGCTCCCACAGCTAAGTGGGAACATGCAATATTTGTCTTTCTGTGCCTAGCTTATTTCACTTAAAGACATCCAGTTCCATCCACGTTGCTGAAAATGAAAAGATTTCATTCTTTTTTATGGCTGAATAGCATTCCATTATGTCTATCTACCATGTTTTCTTTATCCTCTGCAAATGGACTCTCAGGTGGATTCCATACCTTGGCAAACCATCTAAACCAGTCCTTCAGTCCATAAGTTCAAATAAAAAAATTACTATTCTTTGAAAATAAGGTCTTTTCTGTTGTACCCAGAACTAGGTGGCCTGTACCAAAGTAGACTGTGGTCCCCGAGTCTGCTGCCGAGTTGGAGGAGTGTGAGATCAGACCAGCATGACATAAAATGCTATAAAACTGTCTGAAATTCACCTGATTTTTCTTGAGTAAGCATTTTCCTGATTGCAGTAACCTTCTGATTATTTTCCAGAGTTCCAAAAAAGTTGATTCTTTTTTTTTGGAGACAGAGTCTTATCTCACTATGTCACCCTGGGTAACTCTTGGGCTTAAGTGATTCTCCTGCCTCAGCCTCCCTGGTAGCTGGGACTACAGGCACCCACCACAACACCCAGCTATTCTTTTGTTGTAGTTGTCATTATTGTTTGGCAGGCCCCAGCCGGGTTTGAACCCGTCAGTCCCAGTGTATGTGGCTGGCACCCTAGCTGCTGAGCTACAAGTGCCAAGCCCAAAAAGTTGATTCTTACCATTTTTACCAGTAAATTCTCTATTTTCATAGAAAATTTGAAAACCATTTGCAAATTCCTATTGTACCATATTCACTGACATAATTTGGTATCTTTGATTTTTAAATGAGACCTTTTATTTTTAATCATTGCAAGTTATACATTTAAAATTATTCCTGGCATTATTTATTTATTTATTTATTTTGAGACAGAGCCTCAAGCTATCCCCCTGGGTAGAGTGCCATGGCATCACGCTCACAGCAACCTCCAACTCCTGGGCTCAAGCAAGTCTCCTGCCTCCGCCTCCCAAGTAGATGGGACTACAGGCACCCGCCACAATGCCCGGCCATTTTTTTGTTGCAGCCATCATTGTTGTTTGGCGGGCCCGGGCTGGGGATTCGAACCCACCACCTTAGGTGTATGTGGCTGGCGCCTTAGCCGCTTGAGCCATAGGCGCCGAGCCATTCCTGGCATTTTTAACAAAACAGCTTTGAGACATAATCCATATACTCTATTAATAGCTATAGGTTTAATAAGCAGGATGATGCTAACTCCACAGAATTACAAAAAGGAATTTATTAGAAAATGGTAGAAAAATGTTACCCAGAGAAGAACCAAATAAAGAACCACTGAAATCTTATAACAAATGCAATCTATATTCACTTGTAAATATACAAATATCATACAAAGACAATTATACTTGATATACTGATTATCTACATTTTTCACAAAGTATCTATTCTCTAATTTGCCCTAAATTTCCTACGCTTGACATTTTGACTTTTAATAGTGATTATTTTAAAAGTTTACTAATACTGTTTTTTCCACACACTTTAAGGTGGCTTCATTACAGAATATTTAACAACTAGAAAGGATTATTTAGCAATTTCAAACCAGTGGAAAGTTGAAAGTGTAACTGAAATATGGAGATTTGCCATTTTCCTTGCAATAGCTGATAGTCTAAGTTAATAATTAGTCTTTATTTTCCCCTCATCTTCAAAAGTAAATCTTGAATTCCATTTAAAGCTTTAAAATAATGGCAAGTCTTCATGTTTTATTTTATCTATAATGAGAGAGTTCGGCGACTACAATAAAGTAAGGTCTCTGAGAAGCAAGCATTAAGCAGACTTCTAAAGGAAGTAAAGGGTCAAGTCTCAGGGAAGTCTGGGAGAAGCTCTGACTAAGTAAAGGGAATTTCAAACACAACACAATGAAGCATATTAAAAGTACAGAGGGCTGCCAAGAAGGAAGAGGTATGGAAATATGCTTATTGTATAATCATGCTGCTCCATTAGAAATGTTCCTGAGAATCACTGACAATCTGTCTCCATTAGTGCCAAACACAATGGCCTTTTCTCTGCACTCATTCTCACTGACCTTTCTTCTGATCTATTTCAGAGCTACCATTTTCTTTTCCAAGTCTTCCTCTTCTTTGATTTGCATTTACTAATGGTTATTTATCCTTGCTCTTGCAATTTCAACATTATTTAAATGTGAATACTAAATACACAACTCTAGCTTTTAGTCCAAATTTTAAACTCTTCAAGCACTTCATTCTGAAAGTTCAAACCCCACCTGGTCCTCCATATCTTTAAAGCCAAACTTACTTTTACCATTCTACATCCACTCCACTATATTTGTCAATAGAACTTTGGATTAACACTATAAAATTACTTTTGATCATTTAAATTTTTTCTAAATAAACAATATATTATCAAAAATATTAATACTACATTAAAATGTATCTCAATTACTATCTTTCCTCATTATTTTTCCTACAGTACATTGTAATGTCAGCCTTTATCACTTCATGCCTGCATTAATAAAATAACCTCCTATTCACCCTTCTCAACCTTATAATGTTACCAGCAAAGCACAGATAATGAATCTTCAAAAATTGTCGAGTTCTTAATGTTATTTCTTTGGTATCTATGGGATTCTTTTCCAAGTGTTCTAGCTACAGAACTTTATATTCTTTGATATTATCATCTACATTGCATATGTTTGGATTTAAAGGCTCCAGTTCTGACACATTCTGAAACTTTTTCTTTTCTTAAGAATTTTTGAGACTAGTGAGGACACTGCCACCAGGGGGCAGAAGAGCGTGATTAAAACCAATACATACTAGCTCAAAAGGCCAGGTTAGGAGGAAATTATTGTTTTCAATGTTAGGACAAAAATAAGTTTCAATTAAAAAGGGTAAGTAGACATTGAACAGGTTTAAAAATGAACACACTATCTACAAGTTCATCTGGTATATCCCCAGGAGAACCCAAACTGACTCTGTAGCTCAGATGTCTCTTTGTGGGTGGCCCCTATTTCAGTCAAGAACATCAGCATACAGAGCACTCCATGCTCTAGGGTCAGGGTCACCACCAATTTCACCAGGAGACTCACAGAATCTGCTTCCTATTTGTTTCTCCAGTCCATCTGCTCTAGCACAGGCCTGTGCCAAGCATGTTGGCATTTAGTTTTGAACATTACTGAACTACTGTCCCATTGCTTCATGTGAGGAGTTTTTTTTAAGTATAGGCCTTTTAGAAGTTATTGCCCTTCATTGGCCTAAGTTCTCCTTATTTATAACACGAGGGAATAAAAGTTAGTCAGATTCTTATGCCTCTTCTAGCTCTAAGACTCCATGATTCTAAACCCCTATAAATTTGTTGTGCTGCATGTCGAGTTATTCGTATGTTAGAAGCCCTGAGAGCTGAGAGCTGAGAGCTTGTGCAGCTGCAGAGCAATGCAGCTTCCTC